TTTTGATCCCTCTAGGTGGTTGTGGCAGAGCAACGTGGAGAGAAGGGTAAATGGAGACAGAGTGAGAGTGAGCGAAAGAGAAAGAGCATAAATGAGGAGGCAGCGACGAATAATTAATGACTTTTCAAAGAATCAGAGTATTGTCATTTCCTTTATGAGGGTTCTACTTCTAAGTCTGTCAACTTCTCTTTTTCCTACCACTTCCTATTTGCGTAGTGGAGAGGGAACCAAGAGATGTAAAAGAATCTCTTAGGACTTTCGAGTCTCATTCTTGAAATTGGTAACCCTTTCGAGGAACGGTAATTTCCATCTCTGCAAAGCGGTCCAACTTCTTGTTTTGTTTTGAGTCTCCTGTTAAGCAATTGTATTACGACAAAGCGGGTATCTGTAGAGCTGACTATCCTTGATGACTCACTGACTGGCAGGAGAGCAACCCACGAAAAAGTCATGCAGTTTGGTCACATTCGCATTCAATTTCGAATCGAATTTGGTAATCTCAACTTTGTTGTTTCAGAAATTATTGAATTTTTCTCTGTGTTCGGATTTTCTTAATGTATTTTGATTGACCTTGACTCTACCAATGATCGTAGGCGTCCTCGCTTCCTATTGGTTAAAGTGGCGGACTCAATGAAAGCGCCATAAGCAACGTGTTTTCGGACTGTTTGGCGAATCAGCTTTCAGGAAGGTGAAAGTTCTAGAACGCTAAAATAGGATTTTCATTGCTCTGACATTTTGGGTGCCTTCCAATGACTGTAATGCTGTAACACTCATCCCCTAAAACGTGCAAATATTGTCGGACAGTTTGTGCACTTATTCATAGGCTCATTGAACGCCCGAAATAGGCGCATAATTTTGCTTTTGCTATTTCTACGAGAAACTTTCGGAGGCTCGAATTAATCACGTTACTTGTCGAGATGACGTAACTCGACTGCTTCGGTTCGCCTTAATTTGGGTTCCACCACAACTAGTGGGCCAAGGTTTTCGTTCGAGAACGACTTAACGGTTTTGCTCTCTACTGACTTTATTGCACACATTGCACCGAAAATGGTGCTTTCCTTGAACTTCTCTTCGGCACAACTTTCACCTTGATAAGAAACCCTGAAGATGCCTCACATTTTTACACTCTTTGGCATTATTTAAGAGGTAAAACTAGCAATCAAAATATTGGAGTGTGTTTTTTAAATGCTAATAATAGCTTGTTGTGTTCAAGGTCACTTAGTGGTGTCTTGAATAGCCAAAGAAGTGAGAGGATTTATTGGGAACCAAAGATAGTCACTTTTGCTGGGCGGCGCAGTCGAAACACCAATTCCTTCTTTGAAACAAAGGCCACAAAAGGAAATGGCGGAAGATTTTTGAATTCTAACGTTGCCATGACTGGGGAGTACCCTGTTTTTTTTCATCACTGGTTGAAATAATGTGATAAAGCAGACAATGAATTGGAAGTTGCCTAATCATCGGGTAATTGAACAACTCATGACCCTTGCACCGCTCCATTGAAGTGTTCTCTGTTTCTTTAAAACCTTTCCTCTTCCTAGAAAAAGTTCATTGAGGAAGGAACTTTAGTATGAGGAGTAGAACAATGACTGGAAGGGCGGAGAGGAGGAGAAGAAGAAGGAGGCAAGAGGCTAGTTCCGAGAAAAGGGTCAAATATAAGCTTCAAGTAACGTTCCTTCCAGAGGTTATTAAGGGACGAGGCTTTCTATGAATCTAAAAGCGCCTTTGGGGAAGAGCATAAATTTTTTAACGGAACTTAGAGGAAATGAGTGGCTAGTGAAAGTGAGGATGTGACTGACGGCTCGACTTTGACTCGGACAGTTAAATGCACCGACTGGAGTTGAACTGTTGATACAGAGGATGTAAAAATGAAACAATCGCGGCGATATTTTTTTTTTTAAATATGTTTGACATGCTTGGATTGCTGCTTTATAGACCCACTCAAAGGTAGTGTTGTTGGATCTATGCTTTGGAGAGGATGGGAGCGTCAAAATTCTTGCGCCGCTGGCAGCTAGCACCAGTCCCATGGAAGGCTTTCTTTCGGTGAAAAATCATGAGTAGTAAAGGTACTCATTCATCCCTGAAATCACAACTCCAATGAAAGATGAGGAGGAGGAGGAGAAATAAGGGATTGCAATTCCGCCAAGACACAATTCTGCCGTTTCCTTATAGACAATTAAGCAAAACAGAGGCACTCCTGTTTATGCCGCCCTCTTATTTCCCCAGTGTTTGTTCGGCTGTGCCGATGGTCATTCATGTGCCCATTACCAGTGCCAAGGAAGGGAGGCAATCAGAGGACGTTAGTTGTTGGTCTGCCTTCCATATGTTTGTCCTCACTTCCTCCTCCTCCCCCTCCTCCTCCTTCTCCTATTTCTCGCATTAGTCAATTTGGAAGGCTCCAACCTCTTCGCCTTCACTTACTTTTTGAGTGGAACTGTGCAGTTTCCAGCAACAGCATTGCTGCTGCTATTATTAGTTTTAGTGAGGGTGGAGTACCGCCCTCACCAGTCGTTGATTCAACACAGACTTTACAAGGCTTCCTTGCCTCGGAGCCTCGACATCTCGGTGCCACAGAATTGAAGGTTGAAGTTGTTCCACTCTCCAGATGTGTCGCATAACACTTCACTAGTCTCTCAATGCGTTGTAGGTAGAGACGACTTCTGTCAATAACCCTAGGCATTATTTGGCTCAAGTTTTCAAACATAATTTCCCTGAACCAAAATTCTAGGTCGAAGGATATAATCGGTTTTCTATTTTTTTGCCTGACTGCACAATTCTCTTTCCCTTTGCATTGAAAACAGGTCTGCTCTCCTGGCTGTGTTGATCCATCGAGTCATGTTAAAACAGGTGAAGCATGAAAGACAGTGAGGCAATAATGGAGCTTTAGAGGCAAAATGTCTTACTCGTACCCACAAATTGGCAAATGCTATCCCCTTTTTAAAGACTTGTTGCTCTTAGGGGTACGTGACACAGTGAAGTAGGGTTTAGGAAGGAATAACGTATTCATTTGTCAGGGGAATTGTCGAGTTGCCTCCAAACAAAAAAATATGAAATGTTTTTTTCCCAAATGCACATAGAAATGATGCGCTCATGGAATGGGAGAAGTGCGAGCTGCTTTTTGAATCTGCCAAATTGGAAAGTTTTCGTTTTTCAGTTTTGGGATTTTTTTTCTGCCTCATGAACTCGAAATACTCTTCACTCGGGTAACGGTTTTTGCCCATGAATAAGATTACCATAGATTTTATACTGGGGAGAATGGGAGGAACATATTGTCCCTTAGCGGACTTTGATTATGCATTTGCTTTGTGGTACCTGAGAAGATAATCAACTTATTTACATCTGCAAGGCGGTGAAGCTATCTTGGCCGGCACAACTGTGCCTCACCTGAGTTAATACCCATTAAAACTAACCTTTATTGGGAAATTTGTATTTTTTTTCGCACAAAAAGTTTGTAATATCGGACGAAAATGTGATAATTCCCAACCACATGACGGATCCAACTTCAGCCAATCAGAAGCCGAGGTTTTCGAAACTGTAGCACTAATGCTTGATTCTTGTAAATATGCTTTTTTTTCGGAAGGCTAAGCTTTTACGCATTATGAAAAGAAAGTAGAAATGTAACTGAGACTTAATTAGTAGTAAATAAAATCTTATTCTACATTAGCTTAAGGTGTGGGATCGTGAGTAAATTTTTGGGGCGGCTTGAGTGCCCTTGCAGGAGGGTAGGACTGTATCGCTTTTGCTAGTCCTTAAGAAAAAGACGTCTTTAAAGTTAATTATTTGACATTTTTAACAATCGTCTAAGTTGAGTGGATATATTTATAGATTTATTCGAAGACTGATGCGTCGGTAAATGCATCATAGGCAAGCGCGTACCCACAATTTCGGAGCATTGGTGATATCATAATGATTCTAAGCTATTCTTCGCTAGAAGAGGTGAGGAGTGGGAGGTTCAAATAAGCCACTTTATGAAGGGTTCATCAACCTCTCTGCTTTCTTGCCTTCGGTCCGATTTTCCCGTCGTCTAGCCTTCGGTGAAGTCGAAGTAGTATTTTGCTCTATAAGGGGCCACACCATAGAATCCGTCCTCACTCAATCGAAGTGGAACCTTAGCTCCGTTCCAAAGGCATCCCAGAGCGGAAAAATACCTCATACCTACCTTCCCATTAGATGACATAATGCCACCGTAGTGGGTGGGTAAGGTAGGTGGCCTGAGAGGAAGATAAGGGATCGGTGATTAGAGGACATCGAGGCATTTCAAAACCACAGTGTGCGAGTTAATGATGAAAGGAGAAGATAAGATTGACAGATGGGTAAATGAGAGGTGAAGGACAAGATTAGGTAGCCAATGTTTTATCGCCTTGGAGAGCTGGGCCTCCTGCACTATAGCATTGAAAGTGACATTTTTAATTAATCGACAATGTCGCTCTTCCCTCCTTCCAAATTACTTAATGGGTTTGCCAACTGTGTTGATTTTTTGCTCTCGTAGAACAAAAAAGTGAGCCCAAGCCAAATTTTTAAGGGAGGGTCTTATGGTAGTCACTACAATTCAAATGAAAAAACAAGGCTAGGGGGCAAGGGTTTATCGAAAAGTGACTTGCCACTTACCATTGAACAGATTCCTCGAGGCACCGCTCTGCCACATGTTCCAGACTTGGCTCTAACGGGACCAATGGCAGTGATGGATGCAGAGGGCTTGTCGGAACCAACAACGGAGGCATCCGAAACGGTGACTGCTGTAATTCACGCGGTTGGTGAGATGGAGGCTCGATTAACTCGCCAACGCCATCCCACTGTCACGCTCTTCATTGTAGAGGCTTTAACCCTCGCCCGGGATGGCGGCATCCTGGATTGGGATGATCGTGTCTGTGATGTGTTGGATGACAGGGAGTTGGTGAGTTGTGAAACAGTAATTTGCCCTCATTTGTCACTTCTGGAATGTTTAGAAGGGGATTTAGACTTAGCTAAGGTGATGTGAAGAAGCAGTCAGTTTCACTTCCTGTGTTGAAGCTATGTTTTCCGTCAAACTGACAGAACAGCAGTTGTCGTTTCAAAAAGGAGGCATTTTTTTTAAACAAGGTGGAAGTAGACCCTCAAGGAGAATTTTCAAAAAAAGCACGGAAGACGGAAGAGATTTGCCTTCGTAAATGAAGTAGTTTCAGAGATTGACCAGTAAAATCCGTTGCAAGCAGGAAATGGACAATGCTTTACTATGAGCCTAAATGGTAGGGCTTGAGTTTGTGTTGTGGGCGGTAATGAAATGGCAGTAAATTGAGTTGGAGTTTGCGAGTAGATTGTTAAATAAACCGTTAGAAGTGAAAGAAAACTTTAAGCAAAATTAGATTGACTTCCAAAAGTTTAGTGAGAAGAATGGCCTCAGATGTGCTGTAAAGAGCTAGAAGGTGGGAAGGAGAGTCACCGTCGATGTCTGGATTCAATCATGGAGACGCGTTCGAGATCGGGAAAATACTACTTATTACTTCAAGTAGCCCATGGTCTGATTTGAAGTTTTGCAGGTGTGTGTGTGTGTGTGTGTGTGGGGCAAATCGGCAATTTCCCTTCAAACAAAGTGGACTGCCGTGGTGCATTGTCTCTCCTTTATCAGCAATAATATTTTTGTCATGCTCTAGTCCCTCGGTGTTAGATGCTACTTATTACCTTTAGCAGTACATAGCCTTATTTATGGCAAGATAAAATGACACTCTTCCCTTAAAAAAACGGCACAGAATGCTACAGCACCTTCTGCCTGGTAGCGACAGTCTTGTTTTTCATGAGCCACCTTAACTGGTGACGTGGGGGTAATGAGGGCTCCCTCACTCTATCCAAAACTACTTATATTTTTCCTAAAATTTGGCAAATTACCTAACAACAGGTGTGCTTTAAATGAGCATTAAAAGCGTTTTTTTGTCCTGTCAAGACTGTGCATGGTTGGTGTGCAAAACAGAAACTGCTAAGTGTGCTACCTCTTGAGTGACAAATGCTGAAGTAGCCTCACAAAGAATGCCAAAAACAAAAGCGTTTTTTTTTACCCAGGCCGACTCATTTCCCTTTCAATAAAGAGGTGCATCAATACGTAAAGCGGAAGCCACTTTAAGGTGTTAGATTTTATTCTTTCCTCCCCGTTTGATTAGGCTGGTCGTGGCACATTGAGAAGTGGCAAACGTGATACTTTTCTTTGCTGCTCTAATTATGTACCTAATTTTGGCAGAAAAACACTTATGAAAATTTATTTCCGCTGTGTATGCGCTTGTTCGGAGGGGCAAGGGAGGGGAAGGTTCAGGCACAACGAGTGCACGGGGTCGCAGACCGGGAAATCTTGTGGAATGTTCTGCTTGAGGCAATGAAATCGCTTCCGAAGGCGGAAGGTGTCGACGGGCCATGGGTGGCCACTAGCATAGAGCAGAGACCAACTCCAGTGACTTTGTGGCTAGAGTAAGGCGCCTGGTTGGAGAAATAGTTTGAAGGGAGAGCAGGACTTGACGGGCTCCTACGCAATGAAGGGATGCGGAGTGGTTCGGCACTAAAACTGCGGGTCAAGCAAGCAATTC